AAGATTTTGTTGAGGATTTTTGCATCTATGTTCATCAGAGATATCGGCCTGTAGTTTTCCTTTTTTGTACTGTCTTTGTCTGTTTTGGGGATCAGGGTACCATCAGATCCTTTTTATGAGAGGAGGGGTAGGAACTACATTTAACCAGCTAGAAATCTTCCCAAACTTCTAGAATTTTCTATTCTAAGCTCAAGGGTTTTGTAGGATTATAACAGGATCATAGTGTCTTCAACTAAAATGTTTCTGGTTATAAAAACTCCCAGAAGCTTATTAAAAGTTGAAAAGATGTAGAAAGATATATACAAAATAAAGTACAGTTCCATACAATAATCACTATGAATATTTTCTATATTTCCAGAATTTTTTACATGTATAGATAAATGCATATCACTTCAAACCAACATCAAATCTCAATTAAGAACACAGTTTGAACATCATTCTACATAAATGCTTTTCACATGATTTTTTATGAATTACTTTAAATGTGGTTTTTCCCATATTTGCAACATTTTGTCTCAGGATTCTCCCTGATGATGTAAAAAAAGTAAATAAGTATAAGCTAATATTTTAAATAGAGAGCAGTAAAGCTTGCCCTCTCTCTCCAACTACACAAATGATCCTGTTAATAGTGTGGCAGATATGTTTTCTCAGATTTGTTGCATGTACTGTAGTAGCATACATATGTTTTACTAACAATACATATTTATTAAGTGTGATCATATGACAAATACTATGCTATAATTTACTTTTTTCACTTTGTGTTATTTATCACACATTTTAAATCACTACATGTTGAAGGACATGTTTCTATTCTCCAGATATATAATATTCCATTGTATAGTTACACCACGTAATATTTTAAAAGCTGCTTATAGAAATAAGCCAAATACTTTCTCTGTGTCATTCTTTTTTTTAAAAAAGAATTTTACTGGGGAATTTGGGGAGGGGAACAGATAAGTTGCTGTCCTTTTGCTCTTCAGTCTAGCTGTGGAGGACGTCGCTTCACTGGCCCAAGTTGGTATTATCATTGTGCTCTTCCCGGGTGAGGCAGATCAGTAGCCGGCCACTGGACGGCCGCTCACGGCGGCTCACAGCAGCTCATGAAAGCGCACGCCACCTGCCCGCCAGCCCCACTGCAGCCTATGCCGTTGCCGGCGACTCACGGCAGCCCAGCTCCAGGTCGAGCTGTTGTTCACCATCTTAGCTGTAGAGGATGCAGCATCACTGGCTCATGTGGGCTCCAAACCAGGGCCCTGCTGCTCAGAGCTGACACCCCAAGCCAACACTTAGCCAATGCACCACTCGGCTGGCCCTCCATGTCTCATTCTTAAAAGATATAGAAAAATATTTCTTGCTTACCACAGCCTTACCTGTGGTCTGAAAGAATGAGTTGCAAGGACATATACAAGGCTGTAGCTAACACAGCAACTAGGGTTACACGCTTTATCAGTCCAGGAAAATGTCCACTATTGGCAAAAAAAACAAAAAAAACAAGGAGGGGGCACATTTGTATGACTGTGTGTGTCTGTGAATGCTCATGTGTTTGAAACAAAATGGGTATGTTATTTCAGCTTCATTTTTCTTTCATGATTATAAAAATAATGTACTCTGGGAAAACTACTCTGAAAATGCTGAAATAGGTTAAAAAATAATATTATAATACTATAACCTGACCACTCAGAAATACTGACTAACATCGGAGTTTATTTTCTCTGATTTTTTAAAATCACATATGTACATGCATTTAGTATATGTGTAAGTGTTTTCACTCAGCTACATATCTGTTCACCTTTCCATGTTCACATACAGGTGACACATAGTTTTCTATGTGTCAATCAATTCATAAGAGTATTTATGCCATGCTGTCAAATATTTTTATCCATTATTTTCTTTGTAAATTAATGCTTAAAAATACTAACAGTAACAGAATTCCAGAAATATAAACATGGAATGTCAAGTCAACAAATTAGCATGAATGGCCATGCTGCACTGAAATCTTAATATAGATACTGTAATCTGATCACCCCTTCTCCCACTGTAGACTTTTAAAGCATTGGGAAGTACAAAAAATTCTGAAGGACTAATTCCTTAAAAATGTCAGCAATTCTCTCAAAACTACACACCCTTTTCACCACTCCAAGACCACCATTCCTATTTTTCTCATCTTTTCTCTAGGGCCCTGGGAAATAACTAGATTCAAGAAAGCCATTACCTTGAAGCTTCTTCTCAGCGGCTGCCTCCTGAAATGCAGCCCCTCCCCCAAGACTGGCCAGGCACAGCTCACTTCCAAGCTTCTCAAGAACGCTCCGCCCGCTCCCGGTGATGGGGAAAGCAGGGGGCCCCTCCCTGAAGTAGAGAAGGGAGAATTGCCAAGTTAAACTGCTGAAGCCTTGAGGTAAAAATGTTCCTTTTTAAGGAATTTTAAAATGAAATGGCAACAAGTGTCTGTTTAATTTCCGATCAAACCCTTAGAGTGTGTAACTTCTTGATAAAAAGTGGTAGCAAATCATGTTATTAAAATACAAAAATGTAGGGGGTGGTAGATGAGGGTAAAAGGGATCAAATATATGGGGATGGAAGGAGAACTGACTCTGGGTGGTGAACACGCAGTGTGATCTATAGATGTTGTGTTACAGAATTGTACACCTGAAACCTATGTAACTTGACTAACAATTGTCACCCCAATAAACTTTAATTTTAAAAAAGCTAGTTTAAAATACTCCTTACATATTTTTTCCTTGCCTTATCTTGCACCTTACCTCTACAGGTAAATTTAAAATCCAGCTGGTCAAGCTCTATTAAAATAGCTCACTGAGGATCTTGATTGAGAATGCATTAAAACTGTACATTATCATGGAGAAGACTTCTTGATACATACAATTTTTTTCTGGTTTCAGGACATGATATGTTTCTCCTTTAATTCATTTGTTCTCTTAAATGTTTCACAAAAGTTTCAGAGATTCCTTCACAAACATGGATGTTTCTCACTAAAGACTGAAAATCACTGGTTTGGCAGTAGAGTATACATTTCACATTTCACATACTCTCATCAATAATTGGCCTTCCTTCTTCTTATATTTTGTTGGTATTTTTCACTGAGGCAATTCAATGTGGGGAAAATTAATTTTTAAAAATTCACATCTTTGTTTATACAGAGGGTGCCAAAAATGTATACACATTTTAATAAAGGAAAACTGTATTAAAATTGTAATACTCAATGTATACTGATAACAAAAAATGAGTATAAGTCACGTTTGACTTCTGCAATTACAAGAGGTGCTCAAAGTGGTTACCATCAGCGTCCAGACACTTTTGATTACAGTGAACTACTGCTTGAGCAACGTTGGACAAAGTGTCCACTTGAATAAAATTTTTTGGCAACCACATATGTATGTCTGAAATAAATTAACAAATTTTGCATTAAAATTCTTCTGTGTTAAATTAACCTTAGATTTCTGATTTAACTTACAAAGCCAACTTTAAATATCATTAGTGATAATTTGGGGAATGAAGATATTTGGGAACGAAGTGCCTTTGTGCCTAATATGTAATATATATATATATATATTTTTTTTTTTTAAAAAATCCACCTTTATACAAGCATTAATCTTGGAACAATAAATACCAATAAATTAATGAAGAGCATCTCTAGGCTGGTGTATTAGTGAGAGCTCTAATAATTATATGTAATGTGTTGTGCTATAAACAACCCCTAAATCTCAGAAGTTCAACCACAAAAGTTTATTTTGCTGATCTCAAAGTTCAATGTAGGTAACCAAGTTGTCAGAAAGACGAAGGCTTCATTGTTCCCAGCAGTCATTAAGGGAATCAAACTTCTTCCATCCTATGTCCCTATCATCTTCTTTGGCCTTGAAGTCCTCCACTGCATTCTTTGCACCTGGCTAGCAATCTTATAAAGAAAGGAGTTGGAAAATCCTGTGGAAGTTTTTAGGGGCCAGGTCTGGCAAATTTCACTGCTGGTTACAGTCAACTAGCTGAAACTGCCAGAGGCTGGTGAAGGTAGTCTCTCTGTGACCCAGGAGGAAAACGAAACAGGGTTTTGTGAACATGTTGCATTCTCTCTGCCACAGGAAGTTGTCCTTTTCAATCTTTTGCAGACTTCTATTATATGACTAATGCTTTCTTACAACCATGTACCATATTTACAATGATTTGGAAAGAACTTCCAGTTGCCCACCCTAAATCTATTCTTTGCATTCTTTCTCATGAGCAGAACCCCAGTTGTTTTCAGGGTGGCAGTGTAAACTGTCTAAATATTATGTTTCCCAGACTCTTTTGCTGTAAACCATGGATGGCCATGTGACAGAATTTCTTGCCAAACAATGTAAGCAGAAATAGTTGTGAAGATGCTAGAGAAGGTACCTCCAAAGGGGATAAACAGCCAGCTTGGGTTTTTTTTCTCACTTGCCCTCTTTCTCTTGTTTCCCCCCTAGACTTTGACCATGATGGAAGTTGGAGAGCCATTCTGGACCAAGAAGTGACTTAACAAAAGACAATAACTTACTAGGGATGGAAGTACCTAAACCCCTGAATAATGGGACCACCTCATTCCAATCATTTTAACTTAGTGAAACAATAAACTCCTATCTTACCTAAGTCACTGTGTTTTTTGGTCTCTCTTTTAGTAGAACAAAATACTTGATCTTACAATCACCAACAAAAATAATATCATTCTTATTACAGAATTAATCTTTTCAAAGCTTTCAAATCATTACTGGATAAAGAGGATTATCAGGCCAATATAAATATGGCTTTATTTAAATGAAGAGATATATCCAATTATATATTTTATAACGTAATATTTCTCATTCTGTCTTCTCATTTCACATGTTTGGAAAAAACCAAATGCACATAAAGTGTGGTCATTACATTAAAACTACACTTTCTTGTATTTATTTTATTTTCTATATTGTACATAAATTAAGAAACGCTGCATATCCTCACCATTTTCCAAACAAAATACAAAGGAAAGGATTAATTACTTAGATAATATCTAATATTTTACTATTTTGTAGAAGGAGGAGAAGAATGGTAACCAATAATAACTGCTAATACTACTATTATAATGAAAACGGATAATAATTATAGATATAATAATATGTTACCTATAAATGTTTTCTATATGGCAGGCACAGTTCCCAGCACTTGACGTAGTATCTCATTTAATAATCCGATGGTTATTTTATGAAGGAGAGTATCCACAGCTGACTCGTTCTGCATAACAGTAAATATAATAATAATAGTGAAAAAGGTAGAAGCTAAAAGTGTTCCTTACTGTGCCAGGCATTCTGCCAATTGCTCTGTATATACCATCTCCCTTGATTGTCATAAAATCTTGTTAAGTAAGTATTATGAATATTCCCATTTTGTAGATGAGACATTAGAGAGGTTAATGAGCTTTTACAAGGATATCTAGAGAGTATTTGGCACATAGGATTTGAATCCATGTATTTGACTCCAGAGCCCATGCTCTTAATCACTAAGATAAACTGTACCTACCTCACTGTAAATGAGAAATGCTCTATAAATGTGTGTGGGTTGAATGGGTGAATTAATGAATGAATTTGAAATAGTTATGTATTTGGAGTCATTGGAACTTGGAGAATTCTATACCTGGTTCTGCATCGAATTCAACATAAATTAGTCTTATATAACATAATGTAATTATGGGAGTGAGTGACATCCCATCACTTTATCCAAATTCTATTGATTAGAATGAAGTCACTGGTTCTGCCCGAACTTAAGGGGAAGGAATTATACACGGGGGTGGGTCACCTAAGGTGTCTCCACCACAATACTGTGTGATTCCATTTATATGACATTCTCAAAAAGAGAAAAGTACAGTGATGGTGACATGATCAGTGGCTGCCAGTGGTTACAGGTAAGGGGAGGGTGGGACTATATAAAGAAAGCACAAGAAGTTGTAGGGATGATGGAACTCTTCTGTATTTTGACTGTGGTAGTGATGACATGAATGTATACGTGTGTAAAACTCAAAGAAATATATACGGAAAAACATCATGTATTATGGATGATACTTTAAAGTATGATTTTAATGGGTAACTTAAAAATAAAAACTTAAATGAAAAAATTAATAACTGTTATATAAAAATAAACTCTTTACAAGTATGCTTTAGAAACTATTTGCTTCTTCCTAAAGCATATTTAATAACAAAGAAAACAAAAATAATACCCAAACATAATGGGAAAACACCAGTTCTACTTCCACTTAGGATGCAAAAAGCTATAAAAGAATGTCACCCATAACTTAACAATGATAAAAATGTATATAATCAACAAAATCTACCATTCCTTCAGCCCATCAGAGAACTGAAGTACACTGAATTCCAAAGGGTGAGTAATCCCTCAAAAGGGGGACATATGCGCTGTTTCATCTTTGGCAAAATACGGAAACAAAGGTGGCTGTCAGCAAGCCGGTACAAAGAAATCAGCTGAAATTTTAATGAATTCTTAAATTTGTAATGGGTTAGTGTACCACCAGTAGTTTGGAATATCTGGCTTCCCAGGAACTAATGCACTCACTGCCAGGTTCTTTTTCTCAGTCCTTAACCAGAAGCACACAAACATGACTGGGGATAAAGGAGGAGACCAAAAAAAGCTCATTTCAGTGATTCAGGTTATGCAGGAAGCAATCGGGTATTGCTGGCAGATAGACATGTAGTCCAACACACTATCCAAACCTTTATGTGGGAAGCAAAAGCCCTAAGCCACTAAGGGAGAAACAGCAAACCCTCTCCTCAACTCAGTTAAAAAACAACAAAACAAAACATTGTTTCTGGGGAGTGTAGGGGGGAGGGGTTGGCGGAAACCCATCTGCTCTTTAGAAGGAGCAGGAAACCCTCAGACCCAGGATCCTACAGGAATGAAAAGCAGTGGTCAGCTACTGATGAGGAAGAGGAAAGATCAAAGACAACCCCCAGATACAAATCAGAGGTTAGCTGCCACTCCAAGAGGAAAAGAATGCTGAGGAAAATGTTCAACCCTCAAGGTCCAGCTGCACAGTGCCTATCTAAGTTTAAGGCTGGACAGGACAACAGAGAGTGCTCCCTGCCTTGCCAATGAACCTAGCATCAAATAATAACAGGAACCTTCTGCTGTGAAATAAGCAAGAGCACAGAGAGAGACTCCCTTCTAGAGGCACCGGTGTGAAGGGACTGCTGAAAATTTAGGGTAGAGAAAGATCATCGAGAAAAATCGTCGGGCACACTAGGCTCCACTCTAATTAAAGCAATATATATTATGCAAGCCAGAAGACAATACAGTGAAAAAAAGAGGACATGATCTGCAACATATTTTATGATACC